GGATCTGTTCTGATGGGTAATGATGCATAATGTAAGGTCATTAGAATGGGGTCTATAAAATTTAAAATGTTCGATGGTGTGATAAGGACCTTGGAAAATGTTAGGCATGTACCTGAGTTGAAAAAGAATCTAATTTCTTTAGGCACTTTAGACACAAACGGTTACTCTTATAAGTCAGAGTGTGGGGCTCTAAAAGTGAAGAAAGGGGCTGTGATTGTGATGAAGGGTCAGAAATTAGTAGGGAATATCTACAAACTACTCGGGGATACAGTTGTAGGTGGAGTTGCTACAGCAGAATCTGAGTCAGATGACACTCTGCGACTGGAGCATATAGGAGAACGTGGCATTCTTGAGCTTCACAAGAGGAATTTGTTGAAGGGGGTAAAATCATGCAAGTTGAAATTTTGCAAGTTCTGTGTACTTGGAAAACAGTCCAGAGTACAGTTCAAGATGGGAAAGCACAAGACAGAGGGAATTCTTGATTATGTGCACTCAGATGTTTGGGGACCTGTGAGGGAGTTGTCCAAAGGTGGATCTCAGTACTTTATTACTTTCATTGATGACTTCTCTAGAAAAGTTTGGGTATATTTCATGAAGCACAAGTCTGAAGTCTTTGCCAAGTTTAAACTATGGAAAGCAGAAGTAGAGAACCAGATGGGCAGAAAAATTAAGTATCTGAGGACAGATAACGGTACAGAGTACACAGATTCACAGTTTCTGAGATTTTGTGAGGAGCATGGTATTCAGCGGCACTATACAGTTCGCAAGACACCGCAACAGAATGGTGTTGCGGAAAGGATGAACAGAACAATTGCAGAACGGGCAAGATGTTTGAGGCTGAATGCAGGGCTCTCGAAGAGTTTTTGGGCAGAGACAGTGAACATGGCATGTTATGTCATAAACAGATCACCACGAGCAGCACTAGATGGGAAAGTTGCAGAGGAAGTTTGGACAGATAATGAAGTTGATTATTCTGAATTGAGAGTCTTTGGTTGTCCGGCGTATGTGCATGTATCTAGTAATCAGCGATCCAAACTTGATCCGAAATCAAGAAAATGCTTTTTTTTGGGCTATGTTAAAGGTGTAAAGGGATACAAGTTTTGGGATCCAGAGGCAAGGAAGATGGTGATAAGTAGGGATGCAGTATTTGATGAAGCATTCATGCTTAAAGCTTCTACAGATAAAGAGAAGCTAAATTTAGACCAGGGCAGAGGTAAGAGCCAAGTGGTGCAAGTAGAGCTAGACAATATAAACAGAGAAATTAATGCTCAGGGAGCAGATAGTTCTGGGTCAGAGGTGGAGCAGTATCATAGTGTTGCCTTAGATAGACCACGTCGCACTACCAAACCACCAGCAAAGTATGGATTTGAGGATTCGGTTTCTTATGCACTCATTACCAGCAATAGCGATCCTATAACTTTTCAGGATGCCATTGGTAGTCAGGAGAAAGGTAAATGGATAGAGGCTATGACGGAGGAAATTGAGTCACTGCATAAAAATGATACTT